ATTATTACGCATGCTTCTTTAAAAATAAACTATTAATTTAATTAAGAAATTGAGATTTATTGATATCCGGTGAGGTTTTAAAGTCACCTTTTCTGCAAATCAAACTAAGTAGATAGGCGCAAATTTGATATGTGGCAATGTCGCCTTCTCTATCTCAGTTGATTTTTACAGTACGTAGTCAACCTCCGAATGTTTGATCGGGTTAAAATGCATAATGTGATATCTGTTCTTCCTAAATCTATGTTCAAAACTAAGAAGGAGCTACATTTCGAAGTAGATACTTTTTAATATACCTATAATAATTTTCGCGACGCTACTACACTGAGTAGTACTGTTGTCGAAATGACTTAAGTATTTACTACACCTTGGAGCACCGACTTCTTTAAAGTAAAAACTTCGATTTCAAGAAGAAAATGATTAACTTCAACCTCCACCTTTCCACCTCAACCTCCAGATTGACTGGGCTAATATTAAACAAAAAAAAAGAGTAGTGAATATCTTAAATAAGAAATATGATAACCATGATATGGTTAAACTCGATATCTTTTTTGCAGCCCCTGTATGATAAAAATGTATAACATATATTTTTCTATTGAATTAGTGCTTGTTGGCAACTATGAATAAATCCATTCCATTTTCCATAAATCCAAAATTGCATTGTTTTGTAATAAAATCTATTATATCCTAACTATGAATAAACAATCATATTCATTCACTTTCCATATTAGTTCGGTCGAGACATGAAATCCTGAGAGTCTCTGGGAGGGGGGGGGGGTACTTTTTTAGAACTGATATTTATTTTTTGCATGGTAATGATTAAAATAAGTATGGAACGCCATTTTGTAATTTAGTAATAACAAGTATAAAAATTACTAATGTTTAAAGTCTAGACAGTAAGTAAAAATAAAAATTAACATTATTATGATTTATACTACAGGGCGATTCTAATTTAAAGTGTAATGTAATAAATATTTAAAAAACCTTGTTAGAAAATAAAATTTTAAAAAATCTTAATAAAATGCAAGTAAAAAAACTAATGAAGAAATAACCTACTATAGAAGATCATATTAATTTCAAAGCAGTTATAGATAGACAAATTATTTTTTTAATATTCATCTAATTGAAAACTAACTGAATCATAAACGATGATTTCTTCGGCTTGATTTTCTTTGTCCGTTTCCACGTCAGGGGCTATCGGATAGCTGTAATGTTCCACAAGCAGAGGTTTACGCCATAAAGGAAGCGGCTAGATGTATACGAGAGAAAATTGCTGATAGACCAATAGGGGATATAGTGATATATTCTGACAGCTTGGCCGCTTTAAGAAGCATCACCATGCAATCAGTGAGAAAACTGTGATGGAATGCAGAGAAGCACTGTCCTGGCTGCGTCGGGGCGGGGCTACTCTGTGCTGGATGCCAGGCCACAGCAATGTAGTGTAGCATTTTTTATTTCCTTTAATAAAATTGAATTTAAAAATCTATTTTTATTTAAATTTCTTAGTATTGGCGCCATCTATTAGCTAGATGCCAAAGATACCAAACTCCATTTGTTACAGCTCACTTGTCTCGATATTTAATTTCTATTAGGGCATCTATTCGCTAGATGTCAAACTTCATTTATTACAGTTCACTTGTCTTGTTTATTAGCGCCATCTATTCGCCATATGCCAAACTTCCTTAATTGCATTTCACTTGTCTGAATCTCACTTTGCTGTGGATTGCGATTTTCTGTTCTAATGATTTCGATCATATGATATCACTTTTTTCTCTCTCTTTTTCTTTCTTTCTGGGAATTTGGATCTGAAGAAGACGCGTGTTTCGGCGTCCGACAAATTTTCCAGTGAAAAGCACTCTGAATCCACTTTTCGATTTCCATTGCATGGGTATCCGATTTGGAAATTTGAAAACCTTGTAAAGTATGCAATCCAGAGTATAGATCGTATTTGTTTGGTTTCTTCTTGGAATGATCACCGTAAGTTTATCCGCCATTTTATATAGTCCTATCTAATTAAATTCTATTTCAGTTATTTCCGTTTTTTATTTCGTTTATTTGAGTATTTAATTACTGGTTTGGATCGGCATATGGTTTGAATATATTTATGTAGAGCTGATTTTCAGACCGTAAGTTGTTTTGTTTATTGAGTATCTGTCCTGAGAACTATTTTTTTATTTATAGAATAATTACCACATGGTACTCAGTAACTACCACATGGTACTCAGTAACTACCACATGGTACTCAGTAACTACCACATGGTACTCAGTAATTACCACATGGTATGCAGTAATAATGCAGTAATTATTGTATGTTTCACCCACTTTCATTTTGTATGGACCTATGCAGACCTTAAGACAGTGTTCCTGACATTACAATCGTTTCTTTTGGCTGATATCGAAGGCTTCTCCTGTCATAGTCATCTGCATCCACTTCTGTTAGTCTGGAGAATACCTAACTACCTGTTTACATCATAAGAAACTATATACAGATAAGTCTCTTAAGTTTGATACACAAGGTACGCTTTTATTTTATAATTTTTGAGACAACAGATTTAATAACCTGGTAAATTATCACTATTTATCCCACATATTGTAGTCAAAATTATTTTTTATTTAACATTATAAGTTATAATTTGATTCGTACAGTACACTCTTACTTAGCTATGATATTTTATATGAAAATTATTAACACATATTGATTTTAAAGGTTTTTGTACACGACATGTTTCGAAACATCATCGTATTGAGACATACATAAATTTCACCTGTTTTTATATTAAGTAGCTTACTTAGTTCAAAGAATACAGTTACTAAATTCGAATCTATTTAAAATAACTTGCGGTTTTATTGGGATCACTGTGACTAATTGATGATACTTGTGTTTGTTTTCAATAAATGTTTAATGTAGGATAGTTATTTCTGACTTTTATTCCTGATAAATATAATAGACCCTTAATGCTGTTGATTACTTTATTTTAGCTATGTTGTGATATCATATTTTTCTTTTTGGTTTCTTACTTTACCACTCTCATAAACAAAGTAAGTGGCGCCCTTTTCACTGTCTTTGACTATACCTATTTGAATTCTTAACATCAATATTAAAATCTCTGCAGCCTATATATTATCATTTTTTTATTTTAATATTTAACAGCATTAGAAAGTCACTGTGAGTCAGAAGCCTTACCTACGAACCCAGCTTTCCTCTAACCCTGAGCAACGGATTCTTTTTTCATTCTATTTGGGTAACGACAGAAAAGTCGTCACATCAGGAAGCAGACAGATTCGCCAAAGACGGGGCCAGGGGAGAGGCCGTGGCAGATGACCCACCACTTGTGACGATCAACACACTGAAGGAGGCTATAGGAACTGCCATCAAAGCCAAGCAGCAAGAGACGTGGCAACACCGTGAGGACTGCGCTACAGCGAAATCATTCACGTACGACCAGTGCCCAAGGCCAAAATATATTAGCGCTACTCTGGACTTCCCGCTTTATTTGCCTGTGGCGCATGGACTTCCCTCCTTTTTCGCCTGTATGGCAAATTTTAATAAAGTTAAATAATAAAGTTAAGAAGTTTGATGCGTGGAGGCACATCATAGAGGCAGATAGATGAGATCATGGGATGTGCTTCTGGAGAAGCAAAGAAAACAATTGAAAGTCTTCTAGCAAGTTTCAGAAGGGAGAAGGCGAAAGGAAAACAATCCATTGGAACGGGAAAGGTACATTTACACAAATTATAACGAATACAACAATAAAGCTTGTTTTTTTTAATGGAAAGATTTGGCAAATGTCACATGATTTCTAACCTAGCTGCAAAGAAGCAATCACGTGAAAAATGTCAAATTTTTATTAAAAAAAACAGGCTTTACAGCCAAGGTTATTAAAAGGTATCTTTTAATAACCTTGCTTTACAGCTTGTTTTTTATTTACATGGAAAATTTTGGCATGTGTCAAATTTTTAAATATTTCCAGCGACTGAACCATTATATTTTCGGGTACACTAATGATGCTAATTGCAGAACGGTGACCTAGAGATTCAAAGCGCGAATAAAGATTGAATACAACTGAACGTGGGAACACAGCGAACGCAACAAGCACTCTGAACATCGCAATCTTTTCCTTATTGAGTTCGTTCGTGCGCGCTCGGCTTGCTAGGTTCGTTCGGACTAAAATGCTCTAGTGAGTACGCACCTTTATACACCTAAAGAAAAAGTGAACATAAAATGGTACCACGCGGGAAATGAGTATGTATCCTGACATGTTTCGGTTAATTTCCCCTGAATATTAAAATTTTATTAAGATTAAATTACTTTTGAATAGTTTGTAAACCTAAGGCATGTCGTTTTTTGACTGGTGTTTTATTGTTAACTGTTCGGTTTTAATTTAAAAACAGATGCAATCTTAAATTACTCAAAATTGGCTGGTCCAAAATTTTTCAATTTTGGCATGTGTATTTACAATACATAAACCTATAAAAAATCTATTTAGAGCTAATATTTGAAGAGTTCAAAATTTGCATGGGATTTCCCAGGTTTCCAACGACAATGCATTAGTAGTAGATGCCGCTAGTTTTAAATTTTATATATTTAGATGTAGATTTTATTATCATGAATAAAAGATTTAAATATGAAAATTTCAAAAAAAATTGGAAAATTAAAATGATTTTATTTTTTAACAACAGGTTTGTTTTAATATTTGTCACAAAATACTTTAAATTAGAATCGCCCTGTGGTATAAATTAACAATTAAAATTTTTATTTTTACTTACTGACCATTGACGCATTTAACATTAGGAATTTTTATACAGTTGTGGAGATTCTAGCATTACATGTCATCACTAAAATACAAAATGGCGACCAAACGCCAAAGGTTGAAAGGTGACATCCAATTATTAATTTAATCATTACCATGCAAAAAATAAATACCTATCAGTCAACTATCGCAATTTCATGTTTTGACCGGACTATATGTTTTATATTTTAGATTTGCCTAATATATAAAGACTGTCTAGTCTATTTTGTTCAGTTACATTGCGAAATAATTTGTATTAAATAATATATATCTTAGTTCTTAGTTCCAGTTCAGGTACGTTATTTATGATTATTAATTAGTCTTCGTTGCTTAAAATTGCAATCCCTGTTAAGTATATTCTGTTTTTTTTGAGTTTTATTCAAGTGAATATGTTAAGACATAAAACGATACCCTAGAAAATACTTGACACTGTTACTAAGAGTTTTTAGCTTTCAATAAAAAGATTAAGGAAGGGGCATATCAAAAAACTTAGGTCGAGCGCCATGGGAACCAAAAATGGCCGACTTAAATTCCGGTTTATCGGTGTCGTTCTAATTTTATTCAAAACGATAAAATGGCGTTCGCAGGTTTAAGACCAGGAAATAAACAACCTTTTATTTAAAAAATTTCCGACGTTTCGACGTGTATTTTCGTCTTTATCGAGGCTCTTTTCAGCTAAAAGGTTCTTTTGTCAGAAGTAATTAAATAGCTTATCCCGATAATATGGGCACACTCAACAACACTACACCATCATAATAGTCTGTCTATATGGACAAAGAAACACAATATAAAATATATATAGTTTCTCTTAAAATACAAACAGAAACTATATATTATTGTGTAGTGTGGTGTTAATGGCAATTGTGGCAATTGCCACCCTGTCTATATGGTCAGTCCGACCCTCCTTATACAGGGTGGGTCAAATTCGACGCTTTTAAATGGAAACACCCTTTTCTATAGGAGATAGACGAAAACTAATATCGGTGTCTGGAGCTCAATTTTTGTCAAAAACATGATGGTGAAAACCGTATATCGATATCTGTTGTCGTTTCGGAGTTACGGGGTGTTTTTCAAAAAAATGCATTTTTAACAAGTCGCTGTAACTTTTTTGCTATGGAAAATTTTGTATTTTTATGAAAACATTTTCAAAGCACCTTTTTACGTAGAATTTAATGGTTTAAGTATAATTTTTTTAAAATTAATAATTTAAGAATTATCAACAGAAAATTTGATTTTTTATATGGGACACCCTCTATATTTTTAATTTATTGAAAATATTTTAAAATTACCTTTCCAAAAATATAACACACTTGATATTTTGCTAGATTCCTCTTCGAGATATAGAGTATATAAAAATTCGCCCGCTTTTAAATAAGTAGGCTTTGAACGGAACCGGCTGTAATGCAAAAAAATTCTAGCTGTGAGCATCAATTAAAACGAAAATAATATTTGCTATGAAAGATGCAGAATTTTATAACAATTTAAAATATATTTAACCAACATCAACACATTTAAACTATATCTAATAACAATAAAAATAAATAGCAAACCAAGACATGAGATTTTGCTATAGGTGTTCGACATATCGACCGTCTTCTGTTATGAACAGACGGGGCAGTTTTTGAAAATTTCTCGCGGAATTCATTAACTCAGTGGGGGTGAAAGATACCCTCTTATAACTGCTAAGTATTTTTAATTCTTGTCTAGATTATACGGAAGAATAGGGAACCTTTATTCTTCCGCAAATATATCCATAGGATTAGATCCATGGGCACTAAGTCAGGCGGCCTCGACGTTAGCTATCCAATTATTCTTGAAAATGGCTGCAAAAATTTGCTGATAACTTGAGCGTTCAGAGGCGGTGCGTCGTTTTGCTGGAAAAATATGTTTTCGAATTCCATTAAGGGCATATCATCAATAAGGGGTCCAAAGCCTACTAGTTAAAAGTGGCGAACTTATAAAAATTCTGTATTTCGAAGGGGATTATAACAAAATATCAAGTGTGCTATATTTTTGGAAAGGTAATTTTAAATTCTTTTCAGTTAATTAAAAATATAGAGGGTGTCCCAAATAAAAAATCATTTTTCTGTACATAACTCTTAAATTATTAATTTTAAAAAAATTATACTTAAACCATTAAATTCTACGTAAAAAGGTGCTTTCCATAGCAAAAAAGTTACAGTGATTTGTTAAAAATGCACATTTTTGAAAAACACCCCGTAACTCCGAAACGGTAACAGATATTGATGTGCGGTTTTCACCATTATGTTTTTGATGAAAATTGAGCTCCAGACACCGATATTAGTTTTCGTCTATCTCCTAGAGAAAAGGGTGTTTCCATTTAAAAGCGTCGAATTTGACACACCCTGTACAGAATACTATATATAGTGTTGTTGAGTGTACCCATCGGGATAAGCTATTTAATTACTTCTGACTACAGAACCTTTTAGCTGAAAATAGCCTGAAAAAAAAGTCAAATGTTAAAGCATTCAGCAAAAAATACCCAGTGAGCATTTTATTCCTTTACGGGAAATGTGTTCTAGGTCACGTCGTTGTTACGTTACCAGGCCCTTCTTGTGTCTGATAAAGAGCAATAAAATCTCATTCAAATCGGAATAACGGTTCTTAAAATATCTGAAAAAATGTGTTTATTTTTTAAGTTTGATGCCCTCTAACGGACAAACGAAGCACTTTTGTATAGAGGTTGTGTGGTATATTTCAAAAATCAGAAATAGTTGTCCACGGAGTATTGGGACACCCCTATCGACTCTGAAATTCAGCGCCGGATTAGCAGCGCCTCAAGAGCATTCTGGAAATTAAAAGACAGGGTTTTCTGCAATCATGACTTGAGTACTAAAACGAAACTGGCAGTGTACCGAGCAATTTTATAATCCCCACCATGTTATATGGGTGCCGTACCGCCGACACATGAAGGCATTAAATAAGTTGGAACAGAGACACCTTAGACAACTCTTAAGAATCCGGTGGTTCCATCATGTCTCAAACGTATCGGTCCTTGAAAAAGCTAATTGCGAGAGTATTGAAGTCATGGTTACAAAATCCCGCTTAAGATGGGTTGGTCACGTATGCAGAATGCAAGAAAATCGCATACCAAAATTTCTGCTTTACAGTGAGCTTGTAGTCGGTAAGAGAAGACCGGGTGGACAACTCAAAAGGTACAAGGACATTTTCTACGAAAACTTAAAGGAGATTGACATGCAGAATCATTGGGAAGAAGCAGTTCACAATAGAACTCAATGGAGAAGAATTGTAAACTCACTTAACAGCGACAACCAAAAAGTAAAGAGGCAACAAAGCAATGAGATTTTTGAATGTCCGGAGTGCGGTAGGCAAATAACATCACGTATCGGGCTTTGCAGCCACAGAAAAGCTTATGAAAGAAAACGCCTTGCGTGACCATCTTTTGATGCGTGTCGAATACTCGTCAGCGAGTAATGGCAGTATATGTATATGTATGTATTGGAACACCTCGTATATTATAATTTTCTATAAATGGGAGCAAGGAAGGTGCCTCCATTTTACACATATGTTAAACAAAGAAAACTAAAATGCCGGCGCTCCCTGGAAACGTTGTCCAAGTGGACAACGGCCAAACCTTCCAACCACCGGAAACCAATGCAATCAAAAGCCAAAAACAAAAACTGGCCCTTTTCAGAGCCAACTTTGACGATCGTTAGCCTGAACATTGAGGGAATCACCAAGAATAAAGAAGATATAATATCGCAACTATGCCAATCAGAAAAGTGGGACGTACTATGCCTGCAGGAAACGCATAGAGATGAAACAGCAAACAGACCCAATATTAAAGGAATGCGTCTGGCTATAGAAGCACCTCACAGAAGGTAGGGAGCGCAATATTTACCAGACCCGACATGCTGCTCTCATCCACGAGTAAGAAAATAACCCACGACATTGAAGTGTTAACTATCGAGAGCGGATCATTCACGATAAGCTCCGTATATAAACCCCCTGGCCAAAACCTAGACCTTTCAATGCCAGGCCACTTTAACAACCAGAAGACTCAATTTGTTGTGAGCGATTTTAACTGTCACAGCACCACCTGGGGATATGGCGAAACAGGCTCCAATGGTCAATTGCTGGAGCAATGGGCTGAGGCTACCAGCCTCTCACTTCTCCACGATCCCAAGCTCCCTTGCTCTTTCAACAGAAAAATTTGGAAGCGAGGTTATAACCCTGATAATTGCTTTGTCAGTAGGAACATCCACGACACCTGCTGCAAAAATGTATATAATGCAATTCCAAAGACACAACACCGACCTATCGGAATCCAAGTCTACTCTACAATCAAAACAACCAAAATATCTTTCCGTAGGAGATTCAACTTTATGAAAGCCAGGTGGCCAGAATACTCCCAAGTGCTGGATGAGGAAATAACCAATTTGGCCCCAACACCAAGCAACTACCACATCTTTGTTGAGTCCCTGCGAAAGATATCCAGACGATATATTCCTAGGGGCTGCAGACAACATTACATTCCAGGGCTCTCGAATGCCTCAAGGGACACCCTGGAGCAGTACGAACAATTGTTTGCGGAAGATCCATTCAGCGATCAAACCATCACTTGCGGAACAGCTTTAATGACAGCTCTCAGCGAGGCACGTGAGAAGAAATGGGTAGAAACCCTGGATAGAATGGACATGTCTCATAGTAGTAAAATAGCTTGGAATCTAATCAAGAAACTGGATGGTGACCCAAAACTAAGCAAGGCCCCTGCCAATGTAACACCCAATCAAGTGGCCAACCAACTCCTTCTTAATGGCAAATTCAACTCCAAACGCCAGAAAACCAAAATCAAACGCCTAATACCAACTGAAAACACCAACTTTCAGAAATCATTTACCATGAAAGAGTTGAACAATGGTATAAATACCATGAAGAATGGAAAAGCCGCTGGGAATGACGATATGTGCGTGGAACAGATCAAAAATGTCGGTCCTGGAACCAAAGAATGGATACTTAAACTTTTCAACGTATGTCGCGAAACCTTTCAAATTCCAAAACTGTGGCGGAAGTCAAAAGCTCTCCTTAAACCCGGAAAAATCCAGAGTCTCCGAAAAGCTACCGACCCATATCCCTCCTTTGCCATCTGTTTAAGCTCTACGAAAGACTAATCCTCTACAGAATAGAGAAGACCGTCGATTCAAAGCTGATTCCACAACAGGCAGGATTCAGACCTGGAAAGCACCAGTCAAATCCTCGCATTGACAGAACATATCGAGGAGGGTTTTGAGAATAAACACATCACAGGGCTGGCCCTAGTCGGCCTAAGTTCCGCCTATGACACGGTAAACCACAAGATATTACTGCATAAAGCCAATGAGACCTTGAAAGATTACCACCTAGTCAAGATACTCGAATCCTTGCTCTAAAACGCAGTTTTTCGTGACGCTCGAGGGCAAAAAGAGTCGATGGCGAAACCAGAAGAATGGGTTGGCACAAGGGAGCGTGCTGGTACCAATTCTTTTCAACATATATACAAATGACCAACCTATTCCAGATAACACTAGAACCTTTGCATATGCAGATGACCTAGCAATAACAGTTGAAGGCAAAGGGTTCGAAGATATCGAGGAGAAACTAGAAAGCGCCCTAAAAACAATGTCAACCTATTACAAAAAGAATTCTTTAAAACCCAACCCCACCAAAACTAAAGTGAGTGCATTCCACCTTAATTCGAGACAGGCGACCCGCAGACTTAATGTTACATGGGACGGGACACTACTAGAACACACAGATAAGCCTACCTATCTCGGCGTCGTGCTGGACAGAACATTGACTTACAAATATCACTGCTAAAAAACACGCAAAAAAGTAGAAGCACGAAATTCCCTTATAAGGAAGCTGACCAATAGTAAATGGGGAGCCAAACCTACCGTGGTCAGAACTTCTGCTCAAGCTCTGTGTTTTTCAACTGCAGAATATGCCTGCCCAGTGTGGTGTAGATCTGTCCATGCAAAAAAGGTGAACATCAGTCTGAATGAAACATGCAGAATAGTGACAGGTTGTATGAAACCCACCCCCTTAGAAAACCTTTACAAGGCCGCAGGTTTTACAAGCCCCGATTTACGCAGAAAAGCTCATGATCAACTGAGAAGTTAAAACAAACCTTTGATGCCCGTTACTCAATTTTTGGCCAAGAGTGCGGCACAGGTAGACTTAAATCCAGACGCCGTTTCCTAAGCCACCCCCTGGATGAACCTCCCTCCTACTACCCCCTTAGAGAGGGCCCACCAAATGGTGTTTCTAGCGACTGGAAAACCTGGAGAATGCTCAACCGAATCGGAACTGAGGTGGCCCCAGTAAAATCCGATTTGATCAAATGGGGTTTGCTGGACAGAAATGACGACAAATGCGACTGCAACGCCTTTCAGGACATGGAACATCTTCAATGTCCTGCGTGCCCCCACAGATGTACCCTCGATGACCTATGGCTGGCTAAACGGGAAGCATTGGACGTAGCCCATTACTGGGTTAATAAACTATAATATAATCCGGATACGAAAAAGTAAAGTAAAGTTTCGATAAATAGAAATAGTATTGCTGTTAATTTTAGATTTAAGTTCTGATACAAAAAAATTCTTCCAGATTTACTACTTCTAATCAACTGCCAGTCGTAGAATAAATAATAAATAACATAAAATAAGCTCAGTAAAGACAGACAAATTCACAAAATTTCAAATCAAATTTAAATGTGTCAAATGAAACATCAAACGGAACTGTCAAGGATTCCCACCTCCGTTGACCATGCATAACATGGATAGCATTATACAGCTTCCTTAATCTTTTTATTCAAAGATTTTTAGAATAATTTGAATGTTAATTTTCTTTTAATCAATCTCAACGGTTTCTGGTAAAATTTCAACATATATACCTTATTTTTGTACAGCATGTCTTGTTCTCATATCGACAAGAGTTCCAAATTACCTTGCGAGACAAGTGGATGTCCGAGATGTAATGAGCTGAATGCTAAAATCAATGCGGACAAAGCAAGTTATTTGGCTCCAAACTCGTATAATTATAAACTAGAAATCATGTGGACAAATGTAATAATATTTGTAATTTTGCATTCGTTGGCTCTATATGGTCTAATTCTTATATTTACTGGTCAAGTGGGATGGAAAGCTATATTGTTTAGTAAGTATTTATAAATCAAAATGTCTTCATACCTTTGCATGTTTATATTTCTTTTATTAAAATTTTGATTTAATTTATCTTAATATGATGGCTCTGGTTAGTGTAACATCTTAGTGGTAGTAATGTTATTGACATTTACCAAACGATTGATACTTCAACCTACATAATGATGTAGCAAATGTTTGAAGTACTAAGTATACAGGGTGCTACAAATTCGAGGTACAAGCCTTGGTATCTCGGTAACCGTAATAAATACGAACATGGTTAAATTGGGGCAAAGTTGCGCTTTGGGATGTTCACCAAGATGCCATCAAAAAAGTTTTAAAAATTTTAAGGATTGCTGAGTTTTTGGAATCTTTTTGAATTCAAAAAAGGAAATTGAATGGAATTTTTTTGAAAATCAATTTTATTTTTTCCTGTCGTTACTTCTTCATAGCCATATTATTATTAGATTTTGCCAACTTCTTCACGTTTGGTGAGCGGAAAGCTTCTCGGATTTTGTTTGATTGGTCGCGCATCTCCGGTATCAATTTTATGTTGTACTAAATTGGTACGACCTCTCTGTCCTGCTTCTCCTTTATCAAACACATCTTGATACTTGATTATCAGGTTTCTCAGTTTTCTACTATCTTCGGGAGATAATCCCTTAACGTTTACTAACGCCTTCACCATTTTGTCCGGAATTTTTGAAGCCGAAACTTTGGAGGTTACCGAGGAGACCGAGCAACAGTACGCTATCAGGGTTCCCTTCTTCAATAACACAGCATAATAATATAATTAGTGTTCATTACTCTCACCAGTATAGTCTTCTTCGCTCGTAGCAGGGCTTTTCCTACTGCGACCCCTCGTCCTATTTCGCTGCCATAGTTCCTTGGCTCCAACAGAATAATACTTCCATTATTCATTTTACATTCCAGGTAACCATCCAAAAATATCTCACAGCGCTCAGGGATCGAAACATCTTCTGCTACCACCACGCGAAGCGTCTCCTCACATTTTCGATGTAGAACCACTTCTTCTTCATTTATTTTCAAAATTCCCTGTTTGAAGTTGAGTTCAAAGCCTCTAGTGGTCATGAAGGCCATTCCGAGAATAAGTTCATCTTCGATATCTGCTACTAACACTGGATGTTCAAAACTGGTGCTCCCGATAACAAAATTAAGGTTTACTTCTCCATGGACAGCATCAGAACCTCCCGTAGCAATACGTAGTCGCCATTGTGTTGTTTTAACCTTCTTCGATGTTTTAAGAATATCCGGTCTGATGATAGTTTTGGTCGCACCTGTATCCAACAGCATGGTCCGGAACTCTCCATCAACAAAACCAAAAATGCTGTTGAATTTGTGTTGTAGCGAGGCGACTTGAGCAGTTTTCGTTGGGGCATGTTGGGTAAAGGTCGACGAGTGCCCCTTCATTTCGACCCTTAGTAGTTTTCCGACCACGACGAAGCCGGTTCTTCATTCTTCTTGTTACAACGGCTTCGCACGTGTCCTACCTGTCCGCAGTTCCAGCAACAAATCGGTCCCTTCTTGCCCATGTACTGGTCCATTACCTTCCGAAAAATCCCTTCCACGAATTCGTCGATGGCCCGTACTCTTCATAAAGACCGAGAACTTTGTTTTGCGGCCTCAAATTCTAGGATACGTGCTAAAGCATCCACCAACAGCGTTGGGTGGGCTAGAAGAAGTGCTAGCCTTTTCTCGTTTTCATTTAAGCCAACGGAGAACTACCATAACTCTCCATAACATTCTCGGGCATAGCAGGGTACGCAAGGCGAACGAGGCGGGCTACATCGGCTTCAAACTCCTGCAGAGACTCATTTGACTTCTGAATGCGATTTTTGAGCTGGGAATGGTAGATATGCACTAAATGAGCCTGGCCGTACCTCATTTCTAAATGTCGTACCAATTGCTGATAATCTCCCTGTTCCGATGGTGAAAGTGTCTGCAGGATGTCAGTCGCAGCTCCCCGCAGTGCGATAGTCAAGACGGTAGCTTTTTAAGCGATTGTCCAGCCGTTCGCTCTCGCAGTGGCTTCAAATAGGCAAAAATAGTTGGCCCAAGTGGTTTTTTCCGTCAAACTGTGGAGGCTTCATAACTGACTTTGAGGCATACTTATTTTCGACTAGTTTCGGGACCTCCGATGATTCATTGAATTGACATTTTGGTGAATACACCTTTGCCATTTCCTCTCTTAAGATTTCTATCTTTCTGTTAACATCGTCCTCAATCTGTGCTATTTTCTCTTGTGTATCTATTATCTTTTCTTCTAATTCCCTGCAGTTTTCTGTCAGCTTGTTAAACTTTCTTCTAAATTCAGTATTTTATGATTAAAGCTGGCCTGTATGTCTTTAGAATTTTGTGCGATCTTATCTTCTAAAATATTCATTTTGTCATTTAAAGTTTCTTGCAAATCGTGTGAAACGGTTCAACTGTCCAAAACGAAAAAAATAAATAAATGTGGCATATCATTGCACTCAGGAAACCGAGTTCTTTCAAAACCTCAAATAAAAAATGCAGGTCCGTATTTAAAAAAATTAAGTTGGAATACATACGTGCTTGTCGGGTTCGCGCAGTGCCATCTGGGAAGTTACCAGCTAGAATGTAGAATGAGTGAGAGGAGGGGTTAATCACTGCGACCTTAAAGATCTATTGTGCCTCCCTTCCTTGAGTTATAACTCATCACACTGTTTATAACTCATCATACATTTTCCTGTTGTAGGGGGGACCGGGTATTTCCCATTCTCCTCTGACAACAGATATTCTTCCTCCCAGGATCATATTAATATAACACCCATCCACGGTTATAGTTTGCCCTTCGCGCCCTTCACAGTCGAGGAGCTTGCCTCCGGCTCAGGTACCAGTGAGGTGGAGCAGAATCTGTCTTCATTTTCTTCACCTCTTTAACTTGGTCTCTCCTTAGATATACAGGGTGTCCGGAAATTAATGCAATAAAATTTCGTCATAGATTCTTGAAAAAAATAGGTGACCCGTATTTTTTATTTTTGGCCAGTGGCCCCCCTTTTCGGATTTACAACCCCCTGAATTTCGCCCCTAAAAAGATCCCTTTTTTTAATATCTCAGGGCCCTGTTGAACGAAAATCACTAAATTTGGCACATGTTGTTTTACCATAAAATGACATTTTTTATGCTATTAACTTTCTTTTATTTTCATCAGTGGCGATTTCCACCAACCAATCCGCCGATTCTTGAGAAACACAATCTATAAGGATCATGCCCACCCGAAAGTGTATCACCCATAGACTTAAAATAAAATATAGACTGAGCATCTCATTCATAAATAGCTGGAACATGCGGTCAGACAATGTCTTGTTATTGTTTTAGGTCATAACGAGTGCGACACGAGCGATACATAGGTTGTCTCTGTCGTAACGGTCGTTCCCTGACGACTCTGACGAGAAACGCAACACTGTCTTTCGTTTCTCAAGTACACCTGAACTCTCCTATCATAGCCGGGTAACTTTTTTATTTTAATGAAGCTATAATTAAATTAAAAATATATCGTATTTAAACTTTTTTATATTTTATTAAGATTTAGGAGAGGTTTTTTAAATAAAAGTTTAGAAAAAACGTATTAGAGTCCAAAAAGGATAAAAATAATAAAATACATGTTATAGAAGAAATTTTATAATCGAAATTACGTAACTTTTGAAATTAATAATAAATTAATAATTTTAGTCAAACATTTACAACCCCTAATATTAATCAAAACAGGATCTATTCTACAGATATAATAGAATCGGCGACAGGAAGAGAAAAAAAAATATGATTCTTATAATTTTTTTTTCTGGTTAAGTGATATCTTATTATGTAAATTAGAGAAAACATAAATATGTTCCATTAAAGCAAGGAAGGTGATAGGATGTGGATAAAATGAAAACTACATTTATTTAACTCAGTACTGTCTTTAATATACCGGGTGAGTTCCAAAATGGCTCATAAAAAAAACAAGATTTAGTATGTTAGTATATGACATAAATTAGGGTTGATTGACGCATTCAATTGTTTTTGGTCACTTCCTGTTTCACCGGAAATGACTATAACTTTTAATTTTTAAATACACCCTCGTTATATTTCTACTTTATTCGATAGAAAATGATACTCTGAATAGAATGACATATCATATGTCAACTTTTGACATTTTCGCATATGGTTTAATTGTAATTGTAACACGCGGTTCATAACGACAATTTGACTCGAAATACCAAGTGTGTGGTATCAATATATTCTTAAAAAATGCTTTTTCCAAATATGCTAATGAGTCATCCTTGTTCCATTCGAAAAAATTGACATATGATTAAAAATACGATTTGTACATCTTTTGGGTCAAAATCACGAAGGTGCGAAATTCGCTTCGCCACAGTATAATTTGCAAAAATCGCATAGTTATTGAATAACTAAATTTTGATAAAAATTTAATTTATTCGTTTTATCTGCACATTATTTAATATACTTTAAATGTAAATAATATTTAAAGTTATTTCAAGTTATGTACATAAAAAGTCATTTCGAGAACGCATCCTAAAGTAACGATCCCTAGAAACAAGTACTAAGAACGCCTATAAATTAAACAATATTACACATATTCGTAACTTATGATCGAATAGTTTTATCTAATATTAACATTTTGCAATAAAAATACAAACATCATTTTTTTTTTCAATATATAGAAGGAAAAATATTTTGTCCGGAAGTAATTGCATCATTTCAGTGAACGCAGTTTTAACTAGCCAAAAATAATATATTAAGAACGCTGGGGGTTGGCGCTAGTGTGCAGTCTTTGTATATGGCGATAATCAAGGCGGCTGTCGCGTGTGTTTATAGTGAATATTAATAAAAATTAGTGGTAAGTATCTTCTTATTTATTATTTATTGAGTGTACATCAATAGTTCATCATCCCGGGAATGCCTGTATTAGTTTGCAATATCAGAAAAATTACTATTTCAATGAAGTATAGCAAAAGTAACCTCAAATATTTT